ATCAGCGAAACTATAATTATAATTATTACTTACTGTGCTCATGCTAATCTGAACATTGAAAAATCTTTTAAAATGCTTTTTATTGCTAAAATGACTTAAATACATTATCTTGTTCAACTCATTAGAACAACATATAAATCAGGTTGGCTTATTATTCCCCATATTGCAGACTGGAGACGGATGGGCTGAGATATTCTTATGTATGCCTACTCAGAAATAATCCATACTTCAATCAATAAGATTTATTCCAAGACAGTATGCATACTAGATAAGCAGCGGTTCCCAACCTTTTTGGGACCGTGGACTGGCTGAGCCTCTGCTTTAAGATAAGCAGCAGTTCCCAACCTTTTTGGGACCGTGGACTGGCTGAGCCTCTGAGGAAGGTGGGACATGCCCCGCGCTCGGGTACATGCGCGCTCTTGGGCTCATGCGCAAAACGGTGGGGGAGTGCGCGCACGCCTGCCAGCGCCAGTGTGAGCACTCCCCCACCCATTCATGCATGCACAGGAGTGCCTGCATGCCCACCCGCACACCCACCCACCCCTTCGTGCAGGCGTGTGGGCGCGTGCGTGAAGGGGTGGTGGAGTGCTCAAGCCGGCGCTGGCATGCGTGTGCAAAGCAGCTGTGGGGAGGGGAGTGTGTCTGGGGCGGGCGGGAGGTCTGTCTCCACGGCCCGGTCCAGCTCAGGCCACGGACTGGCACTGGCCGCGGACTGGGGGTTGACGACCTCTGTCTTAAAGGACTTTAAACTTAGAAATTTCATGCAGAAGTGAGATATGAAGGCGGGACTTTTTGAGTGGTAACTAGAGATAAGATTTTTGTATATTAATTTTAAAAATGCACATCACAAGAATACTACTCTCTCTTCATTTTCACGTTCTTTTGTCAATTATCAGAAAGAGTCTCTGAAATTAGAAATTATTTGTATTAACAAAAGATAGGTACGTGGAAATTCCATGTTTTTTCATGTTTTCCCCTTCTATTTAACCTTTCATTCACCCTTTTTCTGTCAAATCACATAGGAAATGTTTCGTCCAATATTATTCTGAAGGTTGTCAGCAACCAATCAGAACATCCAGGAAGGGAAAACAGAAATTCTTAATCTATAAAAGGACTTGAATTGATTGGGACCCAGTCGGGAGTGCGCTTTCTTTGCATGAAGATGGGATTACTGCTTGTTCAACTCCTCATGCCCTCCATCTTGGATTGCTGCCTTCTTGTTCACCATCACTCCAACAGGGATACTTTTTTAAAAAAAATCCTTTATTCCTTCTTTGTTTGTTTGTTTGTTTGAAGGATCTCCCTGCTCCATTTATTGCTACTACCACCAGGCAGACTGCCGGTGCCAGGAAAGCTTCTTGGGCTTATTTTTCCCCCCACTGGTTTCTTTGCTCTCCCCGTTGGTCCTTTCCTTTATTGGATTATTTTTTGCTGGCTGCTGTTGCCTGCTGGACTCAAATAAGTGAAGAGAAAGCATCAAATGGTAGGGGGAAAGAAGTCTCCTCATATTCTGCTCATATTGGCTGGAGAGAGGCTTTGATTGAGTAGTTCGCCTTCATTTGCTTGCTTGCTTGCATTCCTTCTCTTGGTTTTTAGAAGAGTAGGCTATGTTTTCTGACTTCTCAATTTGCTATTTCTTCCTCTCTGCTTTCCCTGTTAAAATTATTATTTTTTAAAATTGTTATTAGGATAATTTACTGTATGCTTATTCTAATAAAGTATATTTTGGTCATTTACTAAGTCAGTGCTTTGTTTGCTTCTGCGGAACGTTGTGCAAAATGGAGTCCATTTTGTGACTTTGCCAGTGTACCCTACAGCTTGGGGCATTTCCTTCCTGCTCTTTGATGATGGTTTTTTCTTTCTTATGTACTGCTGCCTACCTTTGGAGTAGGATTGATTCTCTTTTGCCTAGCCTCTGCTTTTTGGGGACGGTTTTCACAGGATCTTTATGGCTTTTTGGATTAATGCCAGAGAACTCAAATCGGGGGAAATCACATGAGATAACTGCACTTTAAATTGGTAGCATTATGTCACACTCCCTTAGAATGATTGCAAGAATTTCTAAATTCTACATATATCATGAGAGCTTCAGCACTTAAACAAGAGCACTAGTTTTCTAAGAGCTTGTTATCTCAGTTTCTTCCACTGTCTTCAAATCTCAGCCTGGAGTTCACAGCTCCAGCAGATCATACAGGTAGATACTGAGTAACTACCTGTAACAAGAATGCCTTTGAAACTAAAATAAATGAGATTAAGAGTTATTATATAATAGTGGCTAAAATTAAGATTGAGTTATCAATAGGGATGTGTGCTGTGAAATTTTTCAGATTGCTTTGTTTCCAGTTCTTTCAAGAAGTTCCTATTTCATTTACATGTTTATTTTTTCTCATGCACTGGTTCTTTCATTTTACACAAAAGGGACCACATGTTTCTGGATTTACTGCATCTAAATGTGGAAAAACATGTTTCAGCCATTGTAAGGTAATTTAACTTTTAGAAAAGAAATTGTTGCTACTAAACATCACCAAAATTTGGCTTTATCCTTTCATTCCGGCTTCGGTCCCTCAAGTACCACATGCAAAAAAGTGTCAGAATCTAAAAAGGTTATGTTTTTGGATTACAGATTGCCAAATCCTCTCTCTGCCCCCCCTCTCCTCTCTCTCTCTCTCTCTGTCTCTCTGTCTCTCTCTCTCTCTCTGTTCACCCTTCATTTGATATACTGCATCTATTGCCTCTCTCCTGCCCTTAAATAAATTTAATTTTTTTAAAAACAAAACTGTTTGAAGGTGTTAGTTAATAATTGTGAGCTGTCAAGTTGCTTCTGATTTACGGCAACCCTTTTCAAGTTTTTCTAGGAGGAGAAAAGAAGTGGTTTCTATCCCCTTCTTCTAGGGGCATCCTGGGACTGTGCAGCTTGCCCAAGGCCACACAGGCTGGCACTACTCAGAGGAGGCAGAGTGGGGAATCAAACTCCCAACCAGATGCTATACCACTAAGCTGTCCAGCCAGCTCACTGATGTTACTCAGTGAAAAAGCATGGATAGTGATGTCACCAGAAAAAGTAACAAGCATGCATAAACATCATGACCACCCAGACTGTCTATTGCCCATCTATGATGTGACCCTCTTCGTCATTAACATTTATTTATTTATTTA